TTAGAAGCTATTATTTCTGCAAAAGGAGGTATTATGCAATAGTGTCCGAAGAGGTGTCCAAACATTTGCATACTGCCATATCCAGTTTTCTAATTCTCAACCTGTAAGCATATGCACATAAATAGTAAGTATGTATTCAAATTTGCAGAAAGAGGTGTTTAACATTGTGCCATGTGGAGGTCATGTCAGCTTCTGTTCACTTTGGGATTCCATGTAATGTATAATTTGATCAGAGATGCCTACATTTTTGCATGCAAGCTTAGTCTGTAACTTTTGTATAAGCTAAGACATGAACCAGAAACATGTTGCCCTTATTCTGGCCAATCTGTAAAAAAAAGGCCTGTTCTTTGCTTTGAATGAACAGTAGTAGTAATAACTATTCTGTGTCTGTGTAACCTTTTGGGGGGAAAAAACTTTGTTGGGAAACTTTGTTTGTAACTTCATAAAATGAAAAATAGTCAGCCAAGAGTTTGGCATAGGTAATGATTGAATATGAGAGTCTACTCAAAAACAAAAGGTAGCAGCAACAGCTTTTGTTCCCTCTTTGTACAGCTTTTTTTTTTTTTCTACTGTAAACTTATTTGTACCTTAGATTTATCTGGCTTTCTTCTAAGAACTCAAGAGTGTGCATAACATTCCTTCCTCCAATTATCATCACAATAATTATCCTCTGGAGTAGGATGGGCTGAAAAACAATGACTAGAGCAAGGTTACTGAGTGAGCTTTATTATACCACATTGGCTTTATTCCAAACCAAGTTGTGAAGATTCTGGTGTCTTCTGTGTATTACAGAGAGAACAGAGCCTAGGGCTGGGCTGCAAATTTATTCAAAAAGCATGAGAAAGTTGAGGAAAGCCAAGTACTCATGTATATATCAATTTTCTATCTATTATTCCTTCTCAGGTTAGCAGGCCCTTGATATGCTACTGGTTAATCAGAAAGCACATCATCTGGACTAAACACCAACTTGTTTTTCTTCAGTTGTAAAACTGCCGTATAGCTATCAAGTATTCTTTTAGGATTTGAAAGCTTCCTTATATATTCAAGCCTTGACAATTGTAATCACAGATTAAATATTATCTGGATCCAGCTTTACATCACTGAAAAAGAAGTAGACCTAGAACAGCAATTTTACAAATCTGCCTTGGTTCAGTCACCCAAACGATCAGAAATGTTAGTCCTGCTCTCTGTCAAACATTTTATATCAAATGTACAACCAGAAACACAGTTGGGAGTTCCAAGGCCATTTATCAGCATAAAATTAAAGTCACGCAAAAATGGTATTACATTAGCGGATGAAAAATTCATCAGTTATGTACTCCAAATGTGTATCCATTCCTCCCCATTTTCCACTGAAACCAGTGCTACTCCTCACAGTCTTTCCAAACTGGAGGGAAGGGCCGGTAGTGATACATGGAAAATGTCCAAGGCTTAATCCATGGCCAGGCCAGGCAGGGGTCAGAAAGACACAATTGTTCCAGTTGTAGACAATAGTGACCTAGATGAATCAGGATTCTATATAAAGTAGTTTTGGAGCTCACTTCTATTCCATGAATAACAGATTCAAGATGCAGGAAACCAGTTTTTGACTGAAATATTTAAAAACAAAACAAGCAAAAAAACTTGGTAACATACTCTAAGAGCCAGTCAACAGCAGAACTAATTGTCCAGAGGTGGGTTTACTTAGGCTAGGTATGTCCCAACAGACACATACCAGACAGGCATCTTCTGTGAGTACTTAATTTGTATTCCTGCAGTCAGTAGAGGGTTGGACTCAGTGACCTCAATGACTTCTTTCCAACTCTTTAACCCTTCTCAGGGCAAAGATTACCTTCCAGGTGTACTCATATCTCCTTTCTTCTTGACTGCTGCCTTGATAAGCTTTGAGTGTATGTAATATTTTGATTTTTTTTTTTTTGGTCTTCCTTTTTTCCACTCAACTAATTTGGCTACATCAGAGGGATTTTAAATTCTGCTCAAGAGGTTGGACATTCATTTAACATGGTTCAAATAAGATTCACACTTATCTGGAATTGAGTCCCACTGAATTCACTGGGACTAATTTCTGAGCAGAGATGTATAGAATGCTTAAACTCCCCTAATACAAATGATTTTTCACCAAGAAATAAATCAAGCACACTTTCTGCATCCCTTTCAGAATCCTAATCTGGGATATTCAACCTACATTTTGCGCACACTCAGAAACTCATTCAAATGGGATTTGTACACTCAGGATTACAGGTGCAACAAACAATAGAATGATTCCTCTCCTACTGCAATCTTTATATGTTGTGCTCAGAAGTCAGTCATCCCTTCCCACAGAAACTTCATTATTGCATAAATCATTATGCATTATTGCATAAATTGCTTTAAACTGTATATTCCAATCAGACTTTCTCATGCCTCCTATTCCCTCTCTCTTGCACACTAACTTGTAAAAATATGTTGGAAACCATTTTTTAATTCCTCTATGATTTGTACAGTCATTTCTCTCCCCATCCAGTAGGTATCAGTGGTGAATAGCGTTTCATGGAGGATATAGCTTGATTTAGCTGAAACTATAGCAGTAAATTCTTCTTAAGGGCAAGCTGTCTTCACAGACATCCTCTGATCATGGGCAACATAACATAGACCAGGTTGTGACATATTTTGTTACCTGTCATATCTCTTAAAGATCTTGAAGGAATGTGCCAAAGTCAGAGAGGGGCTGCAATATATTTTATTAATACCAAGAGAAATTGACCCCTTTCTGCTTTGCTTTATATTGATTCTACTCTGGCTCCTGGCCTCCTAATCTTGCTTGCCATTCTTCAAATACATATGCTTCTCTCTGTTCTAAAATCTGATCCGCTCTTTTCTCTGAATGCGTGTCACTTAAAACTCATGTTAGGTTCAGGGAATGGATTATGGCAGAACACTGAATCAACTAGTAGTCTACTTCAGTGCTCTCTTACAATGTATTGATCCCTCTGCCAAAAAAATATACATTATCCAAAAAAGTGCCTGCCAGGACAAAGGTTATTCTATCTAGGCTGCAAAATCAGCACAGCTGAATTTTCTTCATCACCTTAGGGCTATCTAACAGTTTTCTGGATTTCTGCTGTCCAAATGTGTTAACCCTAGCCAAAGTGTGGCTAGGTTTTTAAACCGCCAAAACTCAGCATCAAATTTGGTCTACTTGTGCTACACATGTGACCTCCCATCTCCTAAATAAATACTTTTATTTTTATGAGCAATGAAATGTTTAGTTAAAGAAGGGCAGAATATATAAAAATCCCGAAGGCATCTTATATATGAGATCCCTGGTGTGATTTTATAATTCAACCACCCTTCAAATCTTAGCATTAACTGTAGAAAAAGAATTAAGAGAAGGCAGTGCATCTAAGCCATGAGGATGATGAGTTGTATCTGCCAATTTTTCACTACTATAAGCAAACTAAAAGCTGGTGCAGGACTGTGTCATTTTCTTTTCTCTGCAAAATAGGGAGGAGGAGGAAGATACCTTAACTGGGATCACAGCTTGGAGAAAGGAGCAATTCCATCATATAAACTATTTCCTACCAAAATTCAACTCCCTTAAATTACTGGCTATCAAATAATTTGAAGGGTGGACTTTCAGCAAGAAAAATGGTTTAAGGTGCTTTGATCCCAACTGCTATGCAGTGGAATGTTTCAATACCTTCTAAAAAAAGACTTGTGATTAATATGACATGTTTGGCAATGAGAAAAGTATGACGACAATAGGCCAGAGCTCACATAAGTCAATTAATCACCATGCACTGCATTGCTCCAGGTGGGACCTGTCCGAGCAGTTTACTTTTGGTCAGCAATCCAGAAGAATTCCCCAGCCATTTATCACTTATAGCACTTGGATTCTAAACTGGGATCTAATGCATTTCAACCGCCCTCTGTTCAGCTCAGCTCAGGGAACAATACCCATAAATTCCTTCCTAGCATCAATTCATGAGAGACAGGAGCCCTCTAGCTCTCCTCCCTTCCTCACAGAACTCCATTTTTAAAATCTCATTAGAAATAAGGAAAGTATTCTAAGTCCTTACTACGATGACAGCCATTAATAGAAACAAAATTACTCAGCAGGATCAGGAGAATAAGTTGAACCAGTTTCGAAGAAAGGTGCAGGGGATTGTAGTTTTTTTTTATTTAGTAAAATACAAAATGTTAAAATGTATATCTCTGGCACGGCAAAAAGCTAAGCAGCGATGGATTTTAGCCATATTCAACACTGACGTTAAAAGTGCATAACATTTTTCACAGTATACAATTGTATATTACCCACTTTCTCCTTTTTTATTAAATCTATTTTCATCAAACATGAGCCATAATTTTAAGTAGTATTAAAGCCTGTTAGAACTATTTAGGGGAGAGTCTGAAAATACTGTAACAAAACTTTTTTTGGTCAATGTTGACGAAACAGAGTAACTGACTTTATGTCAACAGTGAAGAAGCTAATCCATCCATAAATGATCACACAAAAATCTCATCAGTTTCAGCAAGTTTATCGTGCACTTAAGAAGTGCAAATGAGCCATCCTTCTTCAAACTGTAGTATTTCTGAATTCTTTTACTGAATTGAGAATTCAATGCTGAATCAAATGCTTTATTTACCAACTTCAGCGGTACTACAGCTACTTGCACCAACTCTTGCACAAGGTCAGTGTGGCAACCAGGTTAATAGGTTCTACTTCAACAATTCCAATTAAAACATTCTAAAAAAACATAGTTGCTTTTCCACCAGTATACAGTTTGTCTGAACTTATTGGAGTGAAACTTGAAGTTTCAAGTTTATGAGTCCTTAAGAGAATACCTCATGCAGTTTACAGAGACCACTATTATATTATCTCCATCCTTTCTAATTAGCAATTGTAGCCCCTCAATCTGCCAAATACCCAAGTTCTTGTATTTAGATTATAAATTCCCAGGTGCATATTCTAAGCATTTGTGCTCACGTACAAAAATAAAACAAAACAAAACAACCCTAAGTATTTATGAGCTGTTGTTTAATTGAATTGGTTATAAGGATTTAAAATGTTATTGAAATTTAGAAGACTTGTTAGCGGACTTGAACCAGAAGCTGTTGAATTGTTATGGCCCACAAGATATTTTCAAGTAACATTAAAAAGTTGAGCTCCTCTTTCTCTTCAACCTTCCCTTTATTTTTATCCTATTTTTAAAATCACAGTGGAAGGCTTCTGGCTCAAACTTTCTCTGTTAAGCAAATAATAAACATACTGAGTTTCTTGCAGGAGCTATCTTAGATATTTGGAAATGACAAATACAGCAGAAATGATTTATGAAGCTGTTGAAGAAAGCTGTTTTCTGAAATCAGCAAACAATGGGAACCAATGAAAGTATACACAATAAAACAATTTCACTAAAGGGTTCTTTCACATAGTTAACAAAGTTGAGATACTACGTTTAAAACCTTAAGGTAATATTGCAAGTGACATTACCACATAGGATAAACCCAGGCATGTTATGTTTAAGAGTATCAAGCATCCAACTTACTCATTTCCATTTGTATAATACAATGTAAACCCACCTCTGCCTCTTACTTGAGCTAGCAAAAAATAAGCATGAACTAAATTACAGACAATGATTATATGTACTAACACTTTACATTTGTTTTACTTATAGTCAAGGCATAAGGCATAAACAGAAAAAACACACACATCCCAGTTTCTCAGTGAATAATGGGTCCTTCATTTTTCCCGAAGATTTGTTATAGTTAAAACATTCTTCATTGTTCCCATACAGGGAACTTAGAACATATTAATAAAGCTCTGGCATCAAGGTACAGTGCTTAATAAAACAGAATGAATATTTCACAAAACTTACCATATTTTATCAGACCAGGTCTCAAGAACTCATAGGAGGAATTCTTGACTGGTATATTAAATCCAATGGAATTTTCCTATAGATGGATTGAAAGGTTGGTTTTCCAACTTGATGTAGTAGTCTTCACATAACTAACTACAACTTAAATTGTAAAAAGAGAGCTTTTGTTTATTTAAAGCATCAGCATGGGCAGATAACTCAATTGCATGACTTCTGGGAGCTGCAAAATAAGGGTTTGGAGCTATGTTTCTATACAGCCCATATCTTATTGAAAATACTCTGACAATGAAGTCATATATGATACTGAAAATTAACACAAAAAGACTGGTCCAATCAATATATTATCTCAAGGTGAAATACTTTTATTTGTTGCCAGTTTTGCTTCTGGACTAATTTGCCTAATTGTTAGAACCATTTGGCATTGGGGCCCAGCTATGAGAAGCCCAAGATTTGTATGATGCAGATGTCTGGCCAAAACTACACTGCCAGAACAATGCATGAATTGGGCCCTCTCAATAAGATCTGAGGCAGTAGAGCTGTGTGAAAGAAAACAGCACTAAATCTTAGAAACACATTAACTGTAAGACTGATTAATTTGTTAACTGATTAATTTGTTAAATTTGTTAATGTTAACTGATTTGGTTAGCCAACCCTATATTGTCCAGGGTTAGGGTTAAGGTTGGGCTTTTTTTGGGAGGGAGGGTGACGTGGCCAATGGCAAATAAATCCTTCAACACTGCTAAAACAATATATTTGTGCAGAATTACCAGCAAAAAGGGCACTCTAAAGCTCTGCTCTTTCATAAATTCATTTCTAAGGCAATAATCTATTATTTCAAATAATAGAAAATGAAAGCAGCAATCTTCTTCATTAACACTTTTTCTGGAATTGTCCATTTGTTTCCTTCTTTCACCACTGAAGATTACCATCACTTCAGCATGTATATTTCTATGAGGCATATTCAGACCACAGGTCCTATTTAACAACAAACTGTCCATCTTTTGAAACAGGATTCAGTTCAAAGCACTGTTCTGCTTCAGTCTGTCTTTTCAGTTTTCTCTTTTTCTACCATGCAACGGCGAACAATGTTGTCAAAACCTGCTATAAAATATAGGCTAAGTAAGCGAAAAATGCCCAAGAAGATAATCTGTAAGAGAAAGAAACACATTTAATTCAACATGTTTTTATTTTTTTAAATGCAAAAATAACATAGTTCATGAAATGCAAAAGAAATATAATTCAACATATTTTGCCTAACAGGCATTTAACAATTCTTACCAATTAAATCAGATGTAGAGAAATGAAAGTCTAAGAACTTAATCTAATTCCCAATGTCCTTGGTGAGTTGCAAGAGATTATGCCAAGTAACATCCATTTCTCCATACACGACTCTTTCATGATTTTAAATTACACAGACCCAATAACTTTGACCATTACAGAGCATCAGAAACATTCCAAAAACAATACATGTATCTGATTTTTGTTTCTTACCGATTCTAGGATTTCAGCAATGGAAGAGACTGGTGCCATTCCATTAGTCAATATTCTCAGCATGTGACCATCAGTACCAACAGAACTAGCAAATTTTCCTTCCTGTGTGAAATCATAAAACAAAACAAAACATCAATAGATTATCAAACAATTCCATCAATGCATGATTTATTTTTAGGAAGGCTTCAAACAATATAGTTTTAATTTCATGGAAATAACTACATAATATATTTCCTTTCTTAATGGGGACATTTCTATAAACTAAAATGGGATTGCATATACATAACCAAAGGAATGAGATTTACCAGAATAAGCCGTTTAAATTAACTAGAACAAAGTAAAAATACAAAGCCTATTAACCTATTAACCTAAATTTATTGCAAAGCTGAAAGAAAGGACTTTAGGTAGAAGAACAAATAAAGTATATGTAACTAACAATATTGGCCCAACTTCATTCTTCCTTTTATATTTTAAATATCCATTTTACTTTTTGAAGCCTTTTGGAACAGAGTTCTTTTTAATTTTTAATTATGTAAGACACTATTTTTCTGGTGGTACTTAAACTGTAGTATTAAAATCTTCAATTCTACTTGGAGAGAAAAGTTACATGAAATCAACTTTTTGAAAAACACAATTGTTCTCTTTTGTCCCAACTAATAATCCTCCCATGTTTGCTTGCCATTCAGGAAAAAATGCAATGTTTTACTTACGACAGCATCCTTAACAATAATTTTGGCAACATAATCAGGTTGGCAGATTGATGATGCTTCTGAAATAAGCTTGGTTTCCAAAACCTTAAACAGAAAGAGCAATACAAAGATCATACACATATAAAAGATACATGATTTGGCAAGCCTAGCCACAAGAAACAATCACCCATCTGAAATTTTTCTGCTAAACAAAATTGGTGCATCAAGAGTGACCCAGATGCTTCATAGTTGTAGTCAACAGTATACTGTATCTCTTTAGATTAAAACATATACTTTTTTTTGGTATATACTAAGAGTAAAACTAAGAATAGTTAAGTGTTTTATAGTGCCCACTGACCATTTCCCTAAACTATATCTGCACCCAGGGATACTCCTTTTTAAATTCAGCAACCTTTGGTGATACCTATATGCAGTGAACTCTCAAAAGTTCTCAGAACTCAATTGTCCTCTACCTTTTCATGAAACGCAGAGTTTGCATAAGCCTTCCTTATCCCCAGTAGACCACTCCCTCTCATTTAATCAAGGTCATTTGTGCTTTTCTTTGTAATGCTTAATGTGTTATAATATATCCACTTCAGTTTTCTTCTCAAAGATCCTATCATACACACACACTTCAAAAGTTTGAAAAGCACAATAAGTTCTAACTGGACACCTGGTTGGATGAGCACATACACACACCTACACAAACACACACATACACACACCTGCACAGCTCTCAGAATGTAGAAGTATAAGATTTCTCCTGGCAATGTGGTCTTTTCAAATTCAAGCACTAAAAATACACCATTGCATAACCTAGTTCTCTTGTGAGCCATTCCAGGCACTGAAAAAAGCATAGCTGTATCTGTATTGTTAAGGTTGGTGCTATTACATGTGATGTTCTTCACATTCAAATAATGGAGAGGGAACACAAATGGCAATCTTGGGGAGCTGGATTGTGAAGCAAAGATTGGCATTCCCCCCCCTCCCCAATTTGCAGTATAACTGCTTGGAATCTTGGAATCTTGCAGTATATAAATCATGTAAGCAAATAAATATAAATAAGAAAATGTATGGAACTTTAAAAACTGCATCCTCCCTTCAAATTCTTAAACCTATCTTACTCTTTAGTAGAGCTGAAACAAAGAAAAGTGGAAGAGTGAGAATTCAAAAAGTATAGCTAACCAGGCAGTGGGCAAAATGCTTCAATCTCAAAAAGACATTTTGTGAGTTTGCTGTAAGGTTGCAGTTGGACACAACCGACTACCATCCAAGTGGACAAAGTGCCTGTGTAGTGTGAAGCAGCCGCTGGGGAAAGCAACAGGATGGTCTCCAAGCATCAAAGCTAATAAGAGCTATGGTGCTGATAAAAATGTTGGTTGATTAGCCCTTCGGAATGGTGGAAGAAGCTGGATTCTCAGGCCTCCCGATTACCCAAATCCCTTGCACACCACCATTAGCAGGCAGGTCATGCCCCCTCTATACAGAAATGAAGGACTATCTCCTAGTACAGTGGTACCTCGGGTCACGAATGCTTCTGTTCACGACCAATTCGGGTCATGAACAGCACTGTTCACAAAATTTTGCTTCCGTTCGCGAACTCCGCATCAGGTGACAAACAGGATCCGCGGCCATTTTCCCTGCCATGACACGTGGTCGTGGCTTCCTGTAGGTGAGGGGGACTCTCCCTCCAAACAATAACCGCCTTCCCACCCGCCTTC